GTGTGTGTGTGTGTGTGTGTGTGTGTGTGTGTGTACGTACACTTCACAGTCTGTCCTGTTTGGTTGTGTCTGTAGGTATTGCTGTGGTCCTGTCTACTGTGGGCAAAGTAGTGGTTCTTTTAATGCAGGAGCCGGGGCTTCTTTTTTTATCTGCTGCTATGACATTGCCACTCACTCGCTTTAAAAAGTCTCCTTTTTATCCTCCCTCTGCCCCCCAGTGGAGCACCAGTCACTAACGCAGTGAGTTCCTAGCTTTGCTTTCCCCTCCGCAAGCCTCAGGTGAAGTCTCAGTGACTCTTCTGCCTTGTGCTTTGGAGATACCTTCCCCATAACCGGTTTGTTTCTCCAGGAGAAGCCAGTCTGGACCTGCAGACAGGTAGCAGCTCTTGACCGAGGTTCCCTAAGAAGAGCTGTGGGTCGAGTTGCCTAGAATCTGTCCTGCTTCCCAGATAGCACGTGTTGACTGCACGGTGCTGGGAATTCATGTTGGGTGTGAGGCAGCTCTTTGTAACTCTCTGGGCTCTTGTTTTAAAAGAAAAGTATTTTTCATCTTTCATTCCATCTCTTCACTTTGCTTCGTGTCATGGATTGCAGTTGGTGTCAGACCTCTTCCCACTGATGGTATCACTCTGGAGCCCCACCCCCCCTTTTCCCCGTTGGCCATGCTGCACTGTAGCTGCTGCTGCCCTGTGCCCAAAGCCAGTGCTCCTGGGACAAATTAGTGCAAGTAAATCCCATGGGAGCGTTTTCTCAGTAGGACCTCTAAAGCACTCGGTCCAGATTGCCCTTTTGGAAGAGGCCAGCATTCAGCAGTAGTAAGGTTGACACTCGCTTTTCCCTCCTGCATGTGAGGACCTCGATGTGCTGCATCTGCTGGCTGCTGCTTCTTGCTGCCCCACCAGCAGGGTGACCGCAGTGGTGTCTCTGGTTACAGATCATGGATACACAACCCTGGCCACCAGCGTGACACTGTTAAAAGCTTCAGAGGTGGAAGAGATTCTGGACGGCAATGATGAGAAGTACAAGGCCGTCTCCATCAGCACGGAACCCCCCACCTACCTCAGGTAATGTGCTCCCAGCCAGGACGTGCTCTCAGGATAACACCCACAGATATTTTTCTCATACCCTAGAACTGGTTGGGGTTAAATTGAACCAAAATACCTTTAAACACTTCACCTGTTGTGCTTACAAATTGTCTTAGCCAGATTGCCAAGTTTCTTGTGTGTCTGTGGAATTTCTAAGACATGAAAGCCAAGTCTTGGGTTCTGGAAAGTCATTAGAAGTGGTTTGAAAGTGGGACTAATCTATCAGAAAAATGAGTGGCCCAGATAAACTCCCAAAAGAAACGAGCAATAGATCTTAGTGTGTGAGCTTAGAACCTTTAAAAAAGAGTATTTACAGTAATAATTAGACAAGTAATTGAGAGGTGATTATGTTGTAGAGTCTGTTCATTCATATTTATTTTAAAAATTTTTTTCATTTTTTTAAAGTTTATTTATTCTGAGAGAGAGCGAGGGCACACGTTTGAGCAGGGGAGGGGCAGAAAGAGGAAGAGAGAAAGAATCTCAAGCAGGCGCTGCACTGTCAGCATGGAGCCTGATGTGGGACTCGAACCTATGAACTGTGAGATCATGACCTGAGCTGAAACCCAAGAGTCAGACGCTCAACTGACTGAGTCACCCATGTGCCCCTTTTCTTCATTTTCATAGGTATTTTTCTTTGGTTTTGATTCATTCAGATTTATAAGAAAAACCTGGGTACCCCAATAGCTAAATAGGTAAAGGGTGGGCCATCCTGGAAGCATAAGGAGTAAACAAATAAGGAGATGATGTTTGTCCTCGTGTAACATTAAGAATTCAAAGTAAAACAGATAAGCAACTATTGACATAAAGAGTTGGGGAAGATACAATAAAGCTGGCACATGCAAGCACCCTGCACAGGCTTTGGTACACGGGCATGGTCATGACATCAAACCTGTTTTCATTGTCTGACCCATTAATTTCACCCCTAAGAATCTGTCCCAGACAAATAACTTCAAAGAACACCGCCACCGACGGAAACTATTATATGGAAGGAGGTAGCATTGTGAGTAATAATGGCAGTGAGTACCACTGCCCAGTAATAATGGAGCCACTTGAGTGTTCAGCCTTAGGGAGAGGCTGACTGAGTGAAGATACAGCCAGCTGAATAGACTAAGGTATTACAGACTAGGATATAGACCAGGATAGACTAGATCTTGGAAGCAGGTAGACTGGATAGATAGGTAACTGTTTATGTCATAACTAAGTAGACCCTGCGGCAGCCAGAAATGTGGTTTGCCTGAGTGATGTGCAGAATATCTAGAATGAGTGCATTTACGTGCACAAAACCCCGGGGGGCACTGAGGAGGAGGGAGAGGAGGGTTATTGTTTCTAGTGATGTGGTTATGGAAAAATCATTTCTTTCCAGATTTTCTTTCAACTTTACTATTGAATCGTTTTCATAATCCTCCCCACAACCCCCATGTAAAAGTGGCCCACATCCAACTTGGCCAGTGTTATAGATGTGTGCTCTGCAGATTCCTCTTTCCCCAAGGGATGCGGTAAGACCATAAGGATGGCTAGACTTTCCTAGGGAAGTGGCAGAAGGAAGTGATGTACATATGGCTGGGGCTTTCAAGTCTGCACATGTCAGCCAGGAACCTTTTATGGGGCAATAAACACTTCTTGATGATCGTGTCATATGAGGAACAGCTGACGGAGGAGAGTACTGTTACCCCAGAGGTCAAAACTACAGAGACGGTTGGGCATTGAGGTTCGCGAGAAGCTGCTTTCATGGGCTCTGTGCTCAGGAAGCGCCTTCCCACTGCCCAGTCAGCCCCACAGGAGGACCAGCACCTCCCCTCCTCATCACTGGACAGGCTAGGCAGAGGCTGGATGTCCCCCTCCCTTGGGCAGACCTACTTGTAGCAGAAGAAAGGTTGAATTATGTGACCCAGATTCTCGGATTTGGTGTATGATGTACTCACTGTGTCTGACAGAACTTGCACTCTACTTTAGATAGTTACCTGACAGAGGTTTGGCAGAATAGCCCAGGCCTGGTTATGAACTAGATCACTACAGAGATAGGGCAGGAGTTTTTAGGGTGGAGGGGGAGCCTCAGTGCCAGCTTTAGGAGGCTCAGAAAAGAGGTGGCAGTCTAGACCTTAGGTTCCCAGATACGGGCCCAGCTACATTGGCATCACACATGGAAGTTGTAAAGAACCCATATTCCTGGGCTCAGAAAAGAGGTGGTGGTCTAGACCTGAGGTTCCCAAATACGGGCCCAGCTACATTGGTATCACACATGGAAGTTATAAAGAACCCATATTCCTGGGTCCTCTCCAGAGACAGGAGTCCCTTGGTCTAGGTGGAGCTCAGAGCTTTCCTACTTGAAATTTCGCACTCTGAGGGAGTCTGCAGCCAGGATTCAAAACCACTGGTCCAGTAGCTCTAAGCCCTGCCCAGATTAGTTCCAAGTTCCTCCTTTTCCCAGGCCTCTGGTATTGGTAAGGCTGGTCATAAGATCTGAACAAGACTTGGGTACAGGAGACTTGATTGAGTCCCAGCAGAGTTTGATACTGTAAATCTCTCCCTGCCCCCACCCTCAGTCAAGGGGTGCTCTGGGACCACAGCATCTGAGGTGCAAGTGGTCACAGCTTTAATTTTTCTTTTAATGTTTATTTATCTTAGAGAGCGAGTGAGTGGGGGAGGGCAAAGAGAGAAGGAGACACAGGATCTGAAGCAGGCTCCAGGCTCTGAGCTGTCAGTACAGACACAGGGCTTGAACTCATGGACTGCGAGATCATGACCTGAGCCGAAGTTGGACACTCAACTGACAGCCACCCAGGCACCCCAGTGGTTCCAGCTTTAGAAGAGAAAAGAGTCAAAGAGCCTGGGACCTGGGCAGGTCATGGCCACTGCTTCTGGTCCTCACCACCACATGGAGAGAATGACTGCAAGCCACATCTCCTCATCCCTCCTGTGAGGACAGTGAGGGAAGGGAAATTGAGTGGTTGCCGTCACATCCTTTAAACTGTAGCAAACAGTTATGGAAGGATATGTGGTACAGGTGTTGGGGATGTAAAAGTGAATGACACACAGCTGCTGCCCTTACAATGCTCAGACTTGTTAGGGAAGGCAGCGTCCGAGGATGATAAAATGATGTGCAGAGCATAGTGGGAACCTGAGCGCTTGCCTTTCAAAGCCAGCACTGGAGCTTCAGATTAAAAAAGCCTTTTGGGGGGGTGCCTGGGTGGCTTGGTGAGGAGAGCATGTGACTCTTGATCTCAGGTTTGTAAGTTCGAGCCCCATGTTGGGTGCAGAGTTTACTCAAAAATAGAAATCTTTAAAATAAAAAAGCCTTTTGGTATTTTCCTAGTAGTAAAAGCAACCTGTAATTTGGACAGAAGAGTGAACCCTTGATGGTACGTGGGTTACTTCAACTACTTTGAGCCTCACTTTCTAGAAAGTTTTTACTAACCCAGCTTCTCATACCCTACTGGTCTGGACCGTTGCAAGGCAGAAGCATTATTGAAGTGTTATACTCTGGCTGGCCCATATATCTAAAAGAACGGTCTGATCTTGTCTCTCCCTTCTTCAAAGTCCTCGGGGACTCCCAGCTGCCTGCTGAGTACAGTCATTTCTCATGGAGCACACCTGCCCCTAATTGGGACCCTCTCCATGTCCGCCTCTCCAGCCCTAGTTGAGGCAACAATCTATCCGTGCATCCTCTCTTCTGCCGGCCTTGCACTTCCTGAAACGCCCTCCCCATTCCGGTTGTTCCCCTACCCCCATCCCTAGTGAGCCCCAACTCCATGCTTAAGGCTCTACTCCAGGGTCTGCTCCTCTGGGAAGCTGCTTCCTTGTGCACATTCTCCGCAAGAAGGGAGAGTGCTTTCATGGAGTCATGCCTGGCACATAGCATGTTACACTGTGACTTGTGCACTGGGCTGGGGGCTGCTCTGCTGTGTTGGGGTTCCCTCTGTACCCTTCCCCTAGCCTGGGTGCCTGTGAATGGGTGCCAGTGGGCGCCTGAGGAGTAGACACGTACAGAGTCTAGGGTGCGTAGTGCTCACCACCGGCGGGGGTGCAGTGGGCATCCATTGACCATGACTTAGAGCCTGATGGCCAGTATCGGGCTCCTAGACTGAGCAGGGGCATTTCTCACGTCTCTCCAGGGAACAGAAAGCCAAGAGGAACAGCCAATGGGTGCCCACCCTGCCCAATAGCTCCCACCATCTGGATGCTGTGCCCTGCTCCACGACCATCAACAGGAACCGCATGGGCCGGGACAAGAAGAGAACCTTCCCTCTGTGGTGAGCACGCCTCACCCTCCACTGATTCTGCCTCAGTCCTCAAACATGTTTTAGCCTCTTCCTCTCCTCTGCCTTGACCTTGTGTTTCCTAAAACACGCTGTCTTCTTGAAACTGTTCCCCCTTGGCTTCTAGGACAGCTGGTTTCTGGCTTGCTTCAGTTCCGAGCTCTGCCTGCTTTAGTGTCCCTGCTGTCTCCTGTTTCCCAGTGTCTCCAGTGCTCCTGGAAAGCACAGCCCTTGGATCTTATCTTGTGGTTTCAAACGCCATCCCACTGAGACCCCACCATTAGTTCCCTGTGGCTGCTGGAGCAGATCACCACAAAAGGGGGGCTTAAAACCACACAAATCTATTTCTCACCGTTCTGGGACCAGGAGTTTCCATGCAGCAAAATCAAGGTGTTGGCCAGACCCCACTCCCTCTGGAGGCTCTCGTGGTGGGGCGGCGGGACAAGCTGTTCCCACCTCTTCTGGCTTCTGGTGGCTGCCGGCATTCCGTGGCTTGTGGCTGCATTACCAGCATGTGCCTCAGTGGCCACACGGGCTCCTCCTGTGTGTGTGAAACTGCCCTTCTCTTAAAGGACGCTTGTGTTGTGGTTTAGGGCTACTTGCATAATCTCCTCCTAAGATCCCTAATTATATCTGCAAAGTTCCCTCCCTCCCTTTTGCCATATAATGGTCACAGGCTCCAGGGATTAGGATTAGATATCTTTTGGGGGGCATTTTTCAAGTTCCCACCCCACTATCATCTCTGCAGCCTAGCCTCACCCCTACACGCTGTCCTCCGGTATCTCACACACTGCTTACAGATTCCTCCATCCTGGGACATAGTAATCCCACCCTTCCTGCACTCAGGCCAAAACCCCACGACTCTTCCTCCTTCTCCAACCACAGAACTAGTCTCAGCAAATTCCTGCCTTCTCAGCCTTCCACGTGTCCAGAGTTGGACCACCCTTGGCCAGCTCCTCCTAAGATGTGGGCCCCCTCACCCAGGGCAGATGGCTCCTCTCCTGGACGCAGGTCTTCCAGATACCCCGTCACATGCCCACCAGGGCTGGAGTCCGTGTAGTGGCCCCTCTCTCTGGCCTCATCCCCTGCCACTGTCACTCTGCATCAGTCATGTGAACCTCTTCACTGCTTTCAGAGCCACCCAGAACACCCAGAAGCTTCTGCCTTTATAGTTCCCTCTGCCGAGAGCTCACTTCTTACCAACATCTGCATGACCCTCCCCTTTTCGCTCTTCCCTCCCTTTCTTCCCTTCCTTCCCTTCCTTCCCATCACTGGCTGACTGTCACTTCTCAGAGCTGCCTCCCCTTTGGTAGAATGGCTGCTCCTGTCTCTGGCACTCCTGTCCCTTTCCCTGTCCATGTTTCCTAGAGCATTGGTGTCTGGCATGCAGTGTGCTTTCCTTGTTTGTCATCTGTGTCCCTCCCAAGAGTAATTCTCAGCCTGCTTTATTCCACTGACACCTTTAGGGTCCCCTTGCTTTCCATCGTTCCCTCCATCTCTTCCCCGGCGTCTTCCCTCTTTGTCTTCCTAAAATACAGATATGACCACGGGACTGCCTTGCCCTGGGTTCTCCTGGGGCTCCCTCATGGGAGAGGCTGGATCCCGTAGCCCAAGATGGAGAAGCGTGGGCACTGGGACACCCATGCTACTCCCCGCCCCCGCAGTCTGCACCCCATCTTCTGTGCTCTTGCTGTGCTTCCTCAATAGTTCCTCACCTCTCCTGCACCCCTTGGCTTTTGCTCAAGTATTTCCTCTTCTGGAGATACCTTTTCTTTCCTAGTTACCAGTGAAAGTTCTGCCTGCTTTGGGGCTTAAATCTCCCTCTTAGGGTATGTCTAGGTCATATCCCACTGCCTAAGGCTGCAACTCCCTCTCCCTTCCCTGTGTGTCCTTGAAGTATGGAGCACTGCCTCTGTGACCCCAGGACCCCTGCTTGCCTCATCTCTGCTGGCTCAGCCCTTAGCTGACAAGTCCCCATAAGAAGTGGGCTTTTCCCCTCCGGCCAGGTTTGCAGTGACAGGCGGTGCAGGGAGGGAAGCCCTGAGCATGGAGACCCATGGCACTCCTGGCTGACTGTGCTTCCTCTTCACTTCCAGCTTTGATGACCACGACCCAGCTGTGATCCATGAGAATGCCTCCCAGCCTGAAGTGCTGGTCCCTATCCGGCTGGACATGGAGATCGACGGGCAGAAGCTGCGAGATGCCTTTACTTGGAACATGAATGGTACGTGGGAAGCTGGGCTCTGCATGGCCCAGGCCCGGCTGCTGTGTGAACAGACCTTTTTCTTGCCTGTTGCCTACTGTGCTGGATCCTGGACTCTGGGTTCAAATCCTGCTTCTGCCACCGTTTCCTATGGGCTGAGCCCGTGAACCTCAGGTTCCTCCCTCCCCCAGTGAGATTGGGGTGTCAGGGGTCAGCCATGATGCAGGCTGTTGGTCCACAGAGCTCTATAATGACCTTGATGCTGCTCAGACCGGTTCTGCTGCCTGACCGCCTGCACACCACCCTTCAGCCCTGCCCACCCCTCTGGCCTCTCACGGTACCGTGTGTGCAGGCTTGTCCCTCTGTCATCCCCATGAGGTCTGCCCTCACTCTCTGTTCTTCCTCTTTTTGTCCTCGCTCTGTAAGTCCCAGGTCAGATGGTTGCTCTTCCCTGGTTCCCAGAGTCCAAGCGTGACTCTGCAAATGAACCAGAGAAAGCACAGGAGACGTTCACCATAACACTTAGTCCTTATCCCATCTAGGAAAGAGGACTGTATGAGTGTTTATTGTTTCTTTATTGTTTTCTTGAATCTTTCAGGCTTTTTACAACACATTACTTATATTAAGACCGAAACCAAATAACAACACCCCAAAGAGTATCATTTTTAAGTGAAGAAAAGTTTAGAATTCCCAGAACCTCACTGCTCCTAATAGTTTTTTTGCCAGTCACTTCCACATGCAGATGTATTTAACAGAGTTGTAATTGTAGTGCAAATACAATTTTTCTTCACTTGTAAGTGTCTTCCTGTTTTCCTTGGTCTTCATAATTGGTGCACAATTTTCTGTTGAGTTGTGGTGCCTTAGTTTACTAGAACTCCTTCTGCTATTAGATGTTTCCATGGCAGAAAACATAACGACTTACAGCTTGTTTCTCCCACAGGGGATTTCCTCAGGGAGGAACGTGTGTGGTTGTTGATACGTGGTTGCCTTAAGCTTTCTGGAAGGATTAGGCTACTTCCTTTGGTCATCTCCTGGCACTTGGTGTGCCAGGCCTGAGTCCAAGGGCCTCTGCCGAGCCCTGGGAACAGGGCCTGAGAGCCGAGTGTCTGTCCTCCAGGGTTGACAGGTTAGCTGGCGAGAGAGGATGTGGCCAAAGGGAGATGTGGTGAGGGGTTTCCAGGAGGTTGTATTGAGTGTAGATAGGGCAGGTTTGGTGGTGATACTCCCAACTCGGGCACAGGACAGCTCATGAGTGCCAGGCCATGGCCAGTGCTGTACATCCCCTATTATACCACTCCGTGCTTAATCTCAGCAGGCCTGTGTTATAGTTAATTCATCTCTCTCTCTCTCTTTGTCTCTCTCTCTCTCTCTCTCTCTCTCTCTCTCTCTCTGTCTCTCTCTCTCTCTGTCTCTCTCCATTTCAACCCCTTAGGTCAGGGATCTTGTTTTTTATTGCTGCTTTTCTTACAGCATTTGGCACAGAACCTGGCCATAGATCATAACATAGGAATTTAGTTGTTCAGATTGACTCAGTATGTGTATTACCTTGTTACTTTCCTTTCAATAACACATAAAAAGCCCCAACTATTTATTTAAACTTCCACCCTATTCCAGAAGGAGTAAGGCATCTTACATGAGAACTCTTAGTACAAAAGAATAAAGCTAATGCAAAAGGTGTGGTTAGGAAGAATTGGGTGAAGGGGAAAATGGAATAAGAAGATACAAAATGAAGTGAGTGCTCTGGTTCATACTCACAGTTCAGTGGGCATACGTTGCTAGGGGAGGGCATGATGCTCGGACCTTTAGAACCAGGCAGAGACAGGATGATCAGTTCTGCAGTTCTCAGCGTGGTCAAGGTGAGCAGCCGCTGGTGGCTCAGAAGCAGCAGAATCACACATAGCATTTGAATTAGAGAGAAGCTTTCCTCCTGACCCTCAAGAAGTGGACACAGTATAATGCAGTGAAGACCTGCATCTGTCCAGGAACTCTGCCATGAGCTTCTCCAAGCTGTTCCCCAAAGGAGCCCTTACATAACATTCCATATCCCAGTAAGTGTAATTTGGTCCAGACACTTGGAGAACCAAAATAATTTTGTTCTGTGAACTCTTCCTTAGTGGTATTTATGTGATTCTTGGGGTGCCTGGGTGGCTCAGTTGGCTAAGCGTCCAGCTCTTGATTTTGGCTCAGGTCATGATCTCATGGGTTCATGCATTTGAGCCCCACATTGGGCTCCACGCTGACAGTGTGGAGCCAGCTTGAGATTCTCTCTCTCCCTCTCTCTCTGTCCCTCCCATGCTTGTGCGTGCTCTCTTTCTCTCTCTCTCTCTCAAAATAAATAAACTTTACGGGCTGTGATTCTTAACTGGTGGTTAGGAAGCCACACCCCTGGCATGGTAGTTAAAAGCACATGTTCAAAATTGCTGGTGATTTTCATAGTCCTACCTAATTTACTTTGAAATTTCAAGTAACCTTAAAGGTGAGTGTGAGACTCTTTATCACAAAGGGTCCTAAAAATGTTGAGTAGCATGAACGAACTACATGTCCTTCAGAACCAGGACATTCTTCATAACCAAGATTTGTCTCCAACCAGCTTTTGGTAGGTATCAGTTAACAGTGAGTTCAAGGTTATCTTCTCTTAGAAGGACATGAAAGAGAGTTTATCTGAATTGCTGGTGAATTATAGCATCATTTGTCTCAATAGCTAGCCTCCTTGGGGTGTGTTAAAATTCTCCAAGAAGAACGAGCTGCTGAACAAGGACACATCGATGCCAGCTTGGCCCCACTGGGGGCAAGGGAATCCTAGAGCAGGGCCAGGAACTGCATCAGGAAAAGGGGTGGAATCTGCTCCTGCACACAGGCCAAGGGTGATCAGGGCCCTGCTGGTTAACACTACAGGGCATGGCTACAGGAAGCAGGTTCTAGAGATATATATCCACATGTTCACTTTGGATGCTTAAAAACCCCAAATGACAGATTCAACAAGCTGAGTAGATCTCAGCAGTATAAACCCAAAGAAGTCCATGCCAAGATGCATCCTAGTTAAACTTCCAAAAACTAACACAAAAGATCTTGAGAGCTGAGAAAAATAACACCTGACTTCTAATGAAAGACCGCTGATTTCTCATCCGAAACCATGGAGGCTGGAGGACATGGCACATGGTTTTTCAAGCACTGAAAAAAAAGAACTGCCAATCTTGAATCTTACACCCAGTAAAAATATCCTTCAGAAATGAAGGGGAAATCCTCAGATGATGGAATACTGTCACCTGTAGACCTAACCTAAAAGAAGGGAGATGATAAAAGAAGAAACTTTGGAACATCAGGAAGAAAGAATATGATAAACAAAACTATATGGGTAAATACAATAAGCTTTCTTTCTCCTCTTAAGTTTTCTAAATTATGCTCAGCAGTTGAAGCAAACCTGATAATGCTGTCTGATGTGGTTTTAAATGTATGCAGAGGAAATATCTTTCTTTGAGAAGAAAGCTTTCTGTACTTAACTTGAATTGGTGAAAATATATACATGGACCTGAATGAAAGTATCACATACCAAAAATTTTAAGATATAGTTAAAGTAGTGTAGTTTGTAGTATCAATTTGTAAAGTAGGGTAATTTGTAGCATCAGTGTTTATATTAGAAAAGTAGAAAAGTCTCAAGTCTGTAATCTAAGCTCCCACCTCAAGAATTGAGAAAAAAAGCAAAATGAAGCCAAGCAGAAGGCAGGACATAATAGAGCAGAAGTCAGTGAAATTGAAACTAGAAAATGATGGAGAAAATTAATGAAAACACAGCTGATACTTTGAAAAGATCAGTAAGGGGGTCCCTGGCTGGCTCAGTTGGTGGAGCATGTGACTCTTGATATCAGGGTTGTGGATTTGAGCTCCATGTTGGGTGTAGAGATTACTTAAAAGTAAAAAAGAAAGATCAGTAAAATTGATAAACCTACCAAGATTGACAACAAAAGACAGAAACAAAAATGATCAAATTCAGCAACGAAATGGGCTATCAGTACAGACCCTGCAGATATTGAAAGGGAGTATTACAAAAGCTCTACCCACATAAATTTGAGAATTTAGACAAAGTGGATCAATTTCTTGTAAAAAACAAGCTACCACAATTCACTCAATATCAAATAGATAGTTTGAGTTGTCCTATCACTACTAAGAAATAGGATTCATAGTTTAAAACCTCCCCAAAAGGAAATCTCCAGGCACAGATGGTGTCTCTGGAGAATTTTACCAAACATTTAAAGAAGAATTAATATAAATTCTCTTGCAGTCTTCTCCAGCAAATAAAAGAGGGAACACTTCCCAGTAACATTTTACAAAGCTAGAATTACCTTGATCTCAAAACTAAAGACAGTACAGAAAAAGTAAACTATAGACCAATATCCCAAATGATTATGGACACAAAAGTCCTTAATAAAACATTAGCAAACAGAACTAGATATAAAAAGAATTATACACCATGACCCAAGTGGGGTTTGTTGTTCCAGGGATGGATATCTAGTTCAATATTTGAAGATTGATCAATGTAATCCACTATATTAACAGACTAAAGAAGACAAGCCAGATATCAGTTGATGCAGAAAAAGCATTTAACAGAGGCACCTGGCTGGCTCAATCATTAGAGCATACAACTCTTTTTTGTTTGTTTTTTAATTTTTTTTTAATCTTTATTTGCTTTTGAGAGAGTGTGAGCAGGGGAGGAACAGAGAGACAGGGAGACACAGAATCTGAAGCAGGCTCCAGGCTCTGAGCTGTCCGCACAAAGCCCGATGTGGGGCTCGAACTCATGAACCGTGAGATCATGACCTGAGCTGAAGTTGGACGCTTAACTGACTTAGCCACCCAGGTGCCCCTAGAGAATACAACTCTTGATGTCAGGGTTGTGAGTTCAAGTGCCGCATTGGGTAGAGAGCCTACCTAATTAAAAAAAAAAAAAAAAAAAAAAAAAAAAAAAAGCACTTAAAACATTTATTCTTGGTTAAAAACTCTTAAGAAAAATGGGAATAGAGGAAAACTGCTTCAACTTAATAAAGAGCATCTGCAAAATATCCTATGTCTAACATTTATTTAATGGTGAGAGACTGAATGTTTTCTGCCTATGATAAGGCAAAGATACCTGCTCTTATCACTCTTGTTCAGCTTAGTGTTGGAAATATTAGCCAGAGCAGTAGGGCAAGAAAATTAAATAAAAAACGTACAGATCAGAAAGAAATTAAATTGTCCCTATTTGTAGATGACATGACTGTCTGCATAGAAAATCTCAAGAGATCTACAAAAAACCCTGCTAGCACTAAGAGTTCAGCAGGGTCACAGGATACAAGGTAAACATGCAAAAATCAATTGTATTTCTATGTACTGTTGGTGAACACATGGACATTCAGAAATACATTACCATTTACAATCAATAAGAAAAGGAATACTTTGGTGTAAATCTGACAAACATGTTCAGGACTTATATGTCCAAAACTACAAAATACCAATAAAAGTAATTAAAGATCTCAATGCCATGTTCATGGATTAGAATACTCAAGATGTCAATTGATATACAAGTTTAATGCAATTCCTGTGAATATTTCAGCAAGGCTTTTTGTACATATAGACAAAATTACCTAAAATTTATATGGAGGGGCACCTGGGTGCCTTAGTCAGTTAAGCATCAGACTCTTGATTTTGGCTCAGGTCCTGATCTCACAGTTGGTGCATTCAACCCCGCATCAGGTTCTGCATGGACAGTGCAGAGCCTGCTTGGGATTCTCTCTCCTTCCCTGCCCCTCCCCTACTTGTGCTCTTGCTCTCAAAATAAACTTAAAAAATATTTTAAAAAATAACATTTATACAGAAAGGCAAAGGAACTAGAATAACTAAAGCAATTTTGAAAAAGAAGGACAAAGGAGGAATCACCCTTCCCAATCTTGTCTTCATACATAGCTACAGTAATCAAGGCTGCATATTAATATATAGTTCTCTCAAAATAAAAAGTTTAATATAAGAAAATGCTTTGCACAGTGTACTCGTAGGGTGCTTCATAGGACACTTCAGCTTCATGCTGCGCTCTCCAAAATTATACTTGGCTTGCTGTATGAGTTATTGATCATAGGCTGGTTGAGTGTTCTGGGTCTGTCCTGATGGTATTGTTAGGATGGCTGGTCTCTAGCCCTCCTGGGCCAGTGAGGAAATACGGGGTCAGTTGTTGAGCAGACCTGGTTCTTGATGACAGAATCATGCTATGTGCTAATGAAGTGATTCATCCTTGGCCACTGCCTTGTCTGGCTCATCCCAGAAGTGGTGCATGGTCATTAGAGTTTGGGTTACAACAACAGGGCAGAACAGAGAGAAAACATTTGACCACATGGGCCCTTCTTGTAATCTGGCCAGTTGCAGATGGTCCCTACAAGTTCACACCTGGTGTAGCTACATTTCCAGGAGGCAGGGTCCATTACACACCTGCATGTCTGTTACGTGTGTGTTGCCTGGAGAGTCAGAAACAGAGGAAGGGTCTGTGAAAAGCCACAGAGCAGCCTAATATCTCTGAGGGATTTTTTTATTGGTGAGGAAGTGGCAGATGGTTGTGTGCCCGTGGGACACTGACTTTAAAGTGATTTATCTGGAAGGAAGCTGTTATTTTTCTCGGGCTTCCATAACAAAGTACCAGACTGATGGCTTAACAGAAATCCATTTCCTCTTAGTTCTGGTGTCTAGAAGTCCCAGATCAAGGTGTCAGAGGATGTGTTTGTGGATGAGGGCCAGGAGGGGGTGGTGCTCATCCTGTGCTTCCTCCCGCAACCCCATGTTGGGAAGGGCCACCCTCAGTTGTCATTCTCTTCATCCTCAACTTTGTCAGGGAGGTCTAGCAGAGGAAGAAGGGGATGGGAGGTTGGGGCCAAACATGGTGAGGTCAGGTCCTGCAATCAGTTAGCAATTTCTGTCCTTTCTCCTGATTTCAGAGAAGCTGATGACTCCTGAGATGTTTTCAGAAATCCTCTGTGATGACCTGGATTTGAACCCTCTGACATTTGTGCCAGCCATCGCCTCTGCCATCAGGCAGCAGATAGAGTCCTACCCCACAGACAGCATCTTGGAGGACCAGTCAGACCAGCGTGTCATCATCAAGGTAGGCAGCTCCTGGGTGGGCCATAGGGTGCTGAGAGTACACTGAGGCCTTAGTCAAAGCCTGTCTTTGGGGTCCATGCTGTGGGATCAGACTTCTGGAAAACCATCTTTTGGGTAGCTCGTGGCTCTTTACCCCAGGAAAAGTATGGGCTGATTTCTTGGAGGAAGGTCTCATATTCTGCATGTCTTCAGGGCACCACCAGGCATTGAGCAGAGCCCAGGTGGTGCTCCAGAGGAGATTATGCCAGCTGCCAGGCAGAGCAGGGAAGCCCATAGTGAGAGGAACAGTGGTGCCACACTCTTCCTGTGGACTGGCTGGGCCAAGCACACCTCATACCATGTAGTAACCTGCCTCAGGGCTGGGGGGAGATGCTGCCTTGCCTGTTGTGTTACAGGTGAAGAGGTTGCCACATGGAGAGGTGAGGTCACGTGCCCCAGACTGCCCAGCTGAGAAGTGAGTGCTGAGATTTGGGCCCAGGCCTGCCTGCCTCAGAGCCTGCTTGGTGTGAAGTGGTATCTCATTGTGGGTTTGATTTGCATTTCCCTGTTGATTAGTGACGTTGATTAGTATCTTTCAGGTGCCTGTTGGTCAGTTGTAGATCTTTGGAGAAATGTGTGTTCAAGTTCTTTGCCTTTTTTCAATCAGATTTTTTGTTCTTTTGTTGTTGAGTTTTATGAGTTCTTTGTATATTCTAGTTATCAATCCCTTATTATACAGGTGATTTGCAAATATTTTCTCCCATTCTTTGCGTTTTTACTCATTTGATAGTGTCCTTTGCTGCATAAAAGTTTTCATTTTGATAAAGTCTGCTTTGTCTTTTTGTTTGTGTCCTTGGTCTCCTATGTAAGAACTCATTGCCAAATCCAATGGCATGAAGCTTTTTTCCTGTTTTAATAGTTTTATAGTTTTATCTCATATACTTGGGTCATTCATCCATTTTGAGTTAGGCAAGGGTCCAACTTCATTCTTCTGTGTGTGTGGATAGCCTGTTTTCTAGCACCATCTGTGGAAATGACTATCCTTTCTACATTGAATGGTCTTAGCACCCTTGTCGAAAATTATATGCCTGTGGGGCGCCTGGGTGGCGCAGTCGGTTAAGCGTCCGACTTCAGCCAGGTCACGATCTCGCGGTCCGTGGGTTCGAGCCCCGCGTCAGGCTCTGGGCTGATGGCTCAGAGCCTGGAGCCTGTTTCCGATTCTGTGTCTCCCTCTCTCTCTGCCCCTCCCCCGTTCATGCTCTGTCTCTCTCTGTCCCAAAAATAAATAAACGTTGAAAAAAAAATTAAAAAAAAAAAAAGAAAATTATATGCCTGTATTTTTGAGAGTTTATTTCTGAGCTTTCTATTCTATTGGTCTATATGTCTTTTTATGTCAGTACCACACTGTGTTGATTACTGTAGCTTTGCAAAAAGTTCTGAAATGGTTCGAACCCACGAACCACGAGTCAAGTCAGACACTTAACTGACTGAGCCACCCAGGCACCCCTTTCAAGATTGTTTTGACTGTTCAGATTCTATTTAAGTTTAGGATAGATTTTTATTCTATTTCTGCAAGAAACATTGTTGAGATTTTGATAAGGATTACAATGAATTTGTAAATTTTTTTGGATAGTCTTGGTATCTAAATAATACTTAGTCTTGGGGCACCTGGGTGGCTCAGTCAGTTAAGTGTCTGACTCTTGATTTCAGCTCAGTCATGATCTCATAGTTGGTGAGTTTGAGCCACATCTTGGGCTTCATGCTAACAGTGTAGACAGAGCCTGCTTGGGATTCTCTCTCTCTTTCCCTCTCTCTCTTTCCCTCTCTCTCTGCCCCTCCCCCGTGCTCTCGCTCTCTTCTCTCAAAATAAATAAACTTAAAAAGGTAATACTACATAATAATAATAATACAATATAATAATAATATTTTGTAGTATTATTTCTTTAATTTCTTTGAGCAGTGTTTTATAGTTTTTATTGTACAAATTTTTCACCTCTTTGGTTAATTTGTAAGTATTTTATATTTTTTAATGCTATTATAAATTAAATTTTTAAAAAACTAAAAAATATATTTTTTTAATCTTTATTTATTTTTGAGAGAGAGAGACAGAGTGTGAGCAGGGGAGGAGCAGAGAGAGAGGGAGACACAGCATCCAAAGCAGGCTCCGGGCCCTGAGCTGTTAGCACAGAGCCCGATGCAGGGCTTGAACTCATGAACCGTGATATCATGACCTGAGCTGAAGTCAGACACTGAACCGACTGAGCCACCCAGGCGCCCCTTAAAAATTATTTTGTTTATTTATCTTGGTTTATTTTGAGAGAGAGAGAGCATGTGCACACATGCACAAGCCCAGGAGGGGCAGGGAGAAGGAGAGACACAATCCCAAGCAGGCTCTGCACTGTCAGTGCAGAGCCCGATTTGGGGCTTGAACTCAGGAACCATGAGATCATGACCTAAGCCAAGATCAAGGGCCGGACGCTTAACCGACTGTACCACCCAGGCGCCCCAAATGAAATTGTTTTCTTAAATTTTTTTTCACATTTTTTATTGTTAGTGTATAGAAACGCAGCTGATTGTGTGTTGACTTTGTATCTTGCTGCTTTGCTGAACTTATTCGTTCTAACAGTTTTTTTGTGTAATCTTCAGGGTTTTCTATGTATAAGGTTATATCATCTGTGAGTAGAGATAACTTTACTTCTTCTTTTCCAATTTGGATACCTTTTATTTCTTTTTCTTACCTAATTTCTCTGGCTAGAAATTCCAGTACTGTGTTGAATAGAAGTGGCAAGAGCAGGCATCCTTGGCTAGTTCCTGATTTTAGAGGAAAATGTTTCAGCTTTCACTATTGAGTATAATGTTCACTGTTGGTTTTTTATATATGGATTTATTAGGTTGAAGTAGTTTCTTTCTTTTTGTCGTTGTTGACTGTTTTTATCACAAAAGGATGTTGAATTTTGCCAAATGCTTTTTCTGCATTGAGATGATGATGTGGTTTTTGTTTTTCAATCTGTTAATATGGTTTATTACATTGATAAATTTTTGTATTGAACTATTTTTGCATTGCTAAAATAAATCCCACTTGGTCATGGTATATAATTCTTTTAATATGCCACTGAATTCAGTTTGCTAGTGTTTTGCAGATTTTTAGATCAGTGTTCATAAGGAATATTGGTCTATAGTTTTCCTTTTTTTGTAGTATTTGGCTTTGATACCAGGGCGGTGAATTATGAAGTGTTCCCTCCTCTTCAGTTTTTTGGCAGAGTTCGAAAAGGATTGGTGTTAGTTCTTCTCTTGGTGCTTGGTAGAATTCACCAGTGAAGCCATCAGGTCCAGGACTTTTCTTTGTGGGGAAGATTTTGTTTATTCATTCAGTCTCCTTACTAGTTAATTTCCTTCCTTCCTTCCTTCCTTCCTTCCTTCCTTCCTTCCTTCCTTCCTTCCTTCTTCTCTCTTCCTTCCTTCCTTTCCCTTCCTTCCTTTTCCTTCCTTCCTTCCTCCCTCCCTCCCTTCCTGCCTTCCTCCCTTCCTTTTCCTTCTTTCCTTCCTTTGTTCCGTGGAGCTTGAACTTGTGACCTGAAGATCAAGAGTCTCATGCTGTACTGACTGAGCCAGCCAGTGCCCCACTAGTTAATTTGAGAGAAATACAAATCTGTTTTTCTTAACCCATTTTAGTTTCATATTATGGCCAACTAACAGGAAAAGGGCATGGGGCATCTGGGTGGCTCAGTCAGCTGAATTTCTGACTTTAGCTCCGGTCATGATCTTGGTGTTTGTGAGTTCGAGCCCTGCATAGGGCTCGATGCTGTCAGCTTGGAGCCAATTTCAGATCCTCAGTCCACCCGCCCCCTGCGCTCTGCCCCTTCCCTGCTTGCATGCCTATGCTCTCTCTCTCTCTCAAAAATAAACATTAAAAAACAAAAAAAGATAAAAGGCATAATTGAGAAAGAAGGGGAACTTCATAGGAGACAAGTGGAGGGCAATGGGAGCCTTACCTGCTTTCTCATGCATAGTCTGTCCCCTCTAAAGGATGGCCCTGAGAACTCTGCTCTGTGCTGTGTCTTTGTCCTGTTAACCGTGGTGGGGATGTGGCCTTATGGGGTTAGCCACACCCACCAACGTGCTTCCAAATGGATGGGGTTGGCCACAGGCAGGGTCCTCATGAGACTGACCAGTTAGCATCCCTGACATTTTTCTCAGAATTTTTCTTTTTCTTTCTTTTCCTTTCCTTTCCTTTCCTTTCCTTTCCTTTCCTTTCCTTTCCTTTCCTTTCCTTTCCTTTCCTTTCCTTTCCTTTCCTTTCCTTTCCTTTCCTTTCCTTTCCTTTCCTTTCCTTTCCTTTCCTTTCCTTTCCTTTCCTTTCCTTTCCTTTCCTTTCCTTTCCTTTCCTTTCCTTTTTCCTTTCCTTTTTCCTTTCCTTTTTCCTTTCCTTTCCTTTCCTTTCTTTTCTTTTCTTTCTTTTTTTTAATTCTGACAGGGCTTCCGAGCAGCCATACAGAAAGTGGTCAGGCAGTTGAAAACCTGTCTGGGGTTGCCACCATCTCTCCTGACCAGAGGCTTTCTTGGTGACTAGACACTTGTCAGCTGTTGGCCCCTTTAAGCCCTCCATCCCACCTGTAATCCCCACCATGGGATGGTGTCAGCTGGTAGGTAGGCTTTGGGAGACCACCCCCAGGTTGGGTTCCCTGCCTGGTTCTGGCGTGAGGTCTTGCTGGCACCAAAGTCTGACACGGCTGGCCCAGGGAAGCTTTGCTGCCGTGGGACAGTGCTGTGTTTATCAGGTCAGAGCCCTCATGGGCATTGTGACCTAGGGGACAGCACCCATCTTGTAAGTGAGGAAACTGAAGGTCACACCCAAGGTTTTGGTCAAGAGGACTCAAGGAGAGCTGGGTACTTCTTTGAGGATATTCTTCCTTGTATGGCTCCTGGGACATGGTGGAGGACAGGAATCTTTGCCATGATGGCATCTGAGGAGTGTCTCTCTTCACAGAGCTGTGCCTTAGCATGGAGTGGCCACTTAATAGATGTTCTTGGGGTCTCTGGGACTATAGCTCAGACCTGGCTGCCTTTATGGGGGCACCTGGCCCAGGTTGGCTCTCTTCAGCTTCAAGGGTTTGGGGGGGACTCAGTGCTTCTCCTAAGTCTAGCTGTCAGGCTCTACAGGGCTGGCAGACTTCTGTGAAGGTGTGTGTGGTGATATGGGTTGCGTCTGGGGAGCCTGGCCCCTGTGCTGCATGCCTACTCAGGAGTCCTGGCCCTGTCTCACCTCTGCACCTCCTCAGGGTCCAGCCGCTCCTGTCCTCACCACCCCACCATCCCTACAGCTAGATGGCTACCTCCAGTAAGGGTCTCAGTGGCAGCCAGTGTCTCTTCTGTGCTCCAAACAGGGCTTCCAGATCCCTCTTAGAAGCTGGAGGCCTTAGGACGGCCTCAGGCCCAACTTTGCTCAGGACCCTTCTCTCCGAGGAGCCACATGGCCTGCTCTCTCTGCCCATGCAGTTCTTCTTAAAATGCTGCCTCCCCCAGGAGGCCTTCTTGGGCCTCCTGGCTAACGTGGCCACCTCTGTACTTTCTGTTCCTCCCTTCATTTTCTTCTTAGGACGTGGTGATGTGTGACATATACCATGCATTCACATATTTAACTTGCTTAGGTGTCTCTCCCCAGCTGGAACATCCTCCACAAAGATGGTTTTTTGTCTGTCATACCCACCATTGCATTCCCTGTGCCTCTCCGTGATAAGCACACAATCTGTATTTTTTTAATAGACGCAAGCATTAATGACCAGTTGACAGGGGACAGGCAACCCAGTCCACACGGTGGCTAAGATATGGCACCAGGCATGCCAGGTATGGCACCTGGGGCAGGGCTTGCCGGGCCTGGTGTGGATGGCTAAACCTGTTGGTCCTGTTTGTTTCTTTTTGATGTTTTTCTGTGGGCTGACTGCTGCATCATGTCTCTCTGGTCCTAGCGTGCCCTTGGGGCTCAGTGGGCATTCGTTTCCTGTGAGGGGAAGGGATAGCTCTTCCAGCTCCATTCTGTAAACCATCATTCATTGCCCAGCATGAGCAGAACACAGAAATGGGAAAGGACCCAGGCTCATTGGCAGTGAGTGGAAGGTGGTATACAGGGCCCAGAGGTGCAGAGCTTCATGAATGGGGACAGGGAGTGGGGTCCCATGCTTCTTTGAAGGCAGTGGAAAGGCCCCAGTGGCTGTGGGCCCTGAGCAGTGGCCACCCTGATCTTTGTCTTGAAGAGCTGAGCACTCAGGGACAGTAGGGTGAATGAGCAGTACTGTGGCCTGGAGAGCAGTGAGGGGTGGTCCCAGTAGGAGGAGTCTCGTGGATACAGTGCCCCAGGACACAGCCAGACCCTCAAGAGTCCTTCCTGTGTGTCTCAGTGATGCCCTGTTTCAGAGCAGGCCTGCTCATCTGTGGGGTGAGGAGTAAAGATGGTGATTCTGAGTGCAGGTGTAAGTGGGGAGCCCTGGGTCACAGGCTAGGTTCTGTCTTGGTCTGGGTGCTGCACAGGCGGGGCCTGGACCCTCTTCTGGCTGTAGTTTACATGTCAGCAGGATATCTGCTGGGTGCGTGGTGGGCAGAGTTGGCTGTGGGCCTCTGCTGCCCACCCAGGCTTTGCCTGCACCTTGTGGGCTATTCAGGTGGGGTGTGCATCTAATGTGAGATGGGTAGCTGTGCCAGGCCTTGAGCCAGAGCCCCTTGTGGCAGCCCCAGGAGGTGCGTGGTGTCATCTCCAATTTCTGGATGGGGACCTGCGGCCAGAAGGACAAGGGCCAGCCCCAGTTCTCAGCTAGTAAGTTGTGGGCAGGGTCCAGCCCGGCCTGGTGGCTCCCTAGTGGGCTGTCTCATCTCCTTGAGGCCTCTCCAGGTAGGGTACGGTTCTGACTCCTTTAACTTGTGTTCTTTGGTTCTTGTCCCAGCTGAATATCCACGTGGGAAACATTTCGCTGGTGGACCAGTTTGAGTGGGACATGTCAGAGAAGGAGAACTCACCAGAGAAATTTGCCCTGAAGCTGTGCTCAGAGCTGGGGCTGGGCGGGGAGTTTGTCACCACCATCGCGTACAGCATTCGGGGACAGCTGAGCTGGCATCAGAAGACCTATGCCTTCAGGTAGGATCCCAGACAAGCCCCTCCCTCCTTTGTAAACCTGTTTTGGGGAAAAGACGTCTCCCTGTGTGTGGGACATGACAGCCTTCGGGTCTGTCTGGAGCCCAGAAAAACGGTCTGGCCATGGGCAGCCGCAGCCAGCTCAGCAGCAACTTGTTGGCTTGTTCCTCCCGCCTCCTGTGTCTCAGTGGTAGGGCTCCCCACCCTTATCATGGTGGGGGTGACTCTGAGGAGGTGGTTTATCTGCCCCCTCCATCCTCCAGCACCCCCACCCCCTGCCTGGGACCATCCTCTGTTGCCAAAAGCCCCTCTACACCTCCACCCTGCCGCCACCTCTGTATTCTCCCAGACTTTTCCCTCTCTCAGGGTTGGGTCACCCACCCCAGGGTTTGTCATCTGATGGACTTGCCTTCTGTCTCAAACAAGAGCTGCTCCAAACAGCCCTCCCCAGCTTGTAAGAGTCAGGAGACCTCCAGCAGTTTTCTTTTTTACTGTTGCATCTTGCCAGTCAGAGACTTGTTGGTGAGCACCCATTTGGACTGGACCCCTATATAGGGTGCCGCGGAAGATAAAGAGCCACATCCAGGCTGCCTGTGAAGGTGGGAGTATAAACAGAACATTCCAGACCGGTATCCTGTGGGTGGACCAGGGGACAGGGGCTCCCAGAGAGGCAGACATGGCCTTCCTATTGGTGGTGGCCCCACAGTGCAAAGTGTGGGCCTAGTAGGAGGTGGGGGGCGGTGGACGTGAAATGATAGTAGAGCTTGTCCACCTCAGGACTGTTCCACCATAACTGGCCCTGTTCCCTGTGCTCCTTTTCCTCTTGGGAAAGTACAGTCTGGGGGTGGCGCTGAGTATCCCTGCATCAAAACAGGATGTTAGGATTTATTCCGCTCATCAAACTGTCATCGTCTACATTTGGCGATCATTACTCAAGGACCGCAGCTTAAAATGGCACATGAGGAGCAAGTACGAAGGTCTTTTTGCAAAGATAGGACAGTTAATGGAGCTCGTGCGTATGTTTGTGTCTCAGCTGGTTTTCCCAGAAATCCCAGGAGACTGCTTTCTTGCTGCTTCCTGTAAATCTGAGCAAGAGAGAAGGAATGACCGTACACCCTCAGGGCTTGAGGTCCCGGCCCTGGGAAACCACTGGGTTCTGTGGGGATCCAAGCACTGCCCATGCTCCAGGCATCTGGTCTGAGATGTCACATATGTCACCTTCCCGGAACCTCCCAGTGGCCCTACCAACCAGGTAGTCCTGCTTCACAGACAGAGCCCAGGCCCTGGGAGGAGGTGTCAGTGAGACGTGATGTAGTGTCTGGGTCCTTGAGAGCCCTGCTGGAGGTGTGGCCGTGCATGTCCGTTCATGTTGTATTTGAGCCAAGGCCGACAGGCCTGAAGACCTGCCTGGGGTGGCCCCGCTCCCTGGAATGCTCCTGGAGGTGGGAAATGGTGATGTTGTACAGGTCATGAGAGTGAGTACCCCAGGTACCTGAGCCCTCAGATGCTGGTTGAGCCTGAATCCATGTTCTGACTGGCAGATGGTGTGTGTGGAGTAGGGAGTATTCCTGCTGCAGGACCCTGAGGGTGTTGGCACATGTGGCAGCATCCCTCCTGCTCTGACCCCTGGGTGACCCGAGTGTCCTCCTAAAACTCTTGTCAAGCTTCAGGCTGTCAGCAGTGTGCCGGATAGCTCCAGAGTAGTACCCCCTGGGAACTCTGGTGGTGGTAGATCAGGACTTACAGCAGATCCCCCCCACCCCATCTCAGGAGCCAATTAATGAATTCCATTTGGTGGACAGGGAGCATCACAGACCTCTATCCTGCTGCAGTCTGTAGTGCTGAGTGTGCAGGTTTCACGTCCTTGGGATTGAAGGCAGGGAGGCTTACTGGGGACCAGGGTGAGCACACATCCCCTCCACAGCAGCCCAGGCCAGCCAGGTTGGAGGGGCACAGCCTGCCTGGGATCTGGGAGGCAGCCCAGTGCCTCTTTTGCATCAGGACAGCTGTTTGTGTTTTCCCAGCTGACCAGGCCTCGAGCTCCTCAGGCTAGGTCTGGCCCATTGTGTGTGCTGTGTGTGGTCTGGGGAGGTTAGGGTCAGAGGCTGGCTTATTGTGGACTCCATCATCCAGGGGACAGAACTATGGCCTTCTAAGGCAAGCAGGGGAGGGGATTGGAACTTATGTCTCCTGACCCTGACCCACATTCTTACCACAGCACCACACCATCCCTTGGGAACTCTCTTAACTTTCCCTGGGGAGACCAGTGTCAGCCCTTCTCTCTGGGTTACTGCCTGGGGGAGGTAGAGTGGGCTGCCATGTCCCCATGGCCAGGGGCCACTTGGTCCATGGAGAGCCAGACCAGGAGCCCCCACCTGATCTCTACTGCACACAAGACTTGACACCTGCTGAGTCACATGACTCCTTAAAAGGGACTTTAAATTTTGGGCCTCTGTCATCCCATGTTGTAGATGCTCTGAATCCCTGCAGGCCAGTCCTGTCTGTCTCCCCCTCATCAGACCTAGCCCAGTGTCTGGCTGCAGTGCTTGGTGATGGTGGTGTTGTGTCCATGGTGGAGCAGGGCGTGCTGCTGGTCACAGGACATTTGTGGGGGGTGGGGGTGGGGGCAGAATGCCCACAAACTAGTCAGGGGAGTGAAGGCAGGCTGCTTCCTTTCAGCAGTGGGACAGGCGGGCCTGATGTGGGCAAGCCTGGGGGGACACGCATGTGACAAACAGATTGGGGGCCCCGAGCTTCTAGAGGACAGAGCTGACCCAGAGTGACAGTGAGTGACAGGAGGGGGACAGAGCTCTGCCAGGGGAAAGGCCTGGGCTGAGCAAAACATGTGGGAGTGTCAGACATTGACCCAAACCTGTGAGTTGCTACCTGGTTGGAAAGTTGCATCAGTAGACTTACTGGCACCTCCTGCAGGCCAGCCCTGTGCCTGAGGCTGGGGACACAGAGAAGAAACAGTACTTTGTCTAGCAGAGTGCACTGGAGGCTGCAGGCGCGAGGAGGGGAGCCACGGGTAGGCGGCATAGAACCTGGGGTGAGGTGGCCGGGCAGGGTGCTGACTGGGAGGAAGCTGGAGATGGGCAGAGGGTCAGAGAGCCTGGTGGCTGGGATAGGTGGGGGACAGGGAGACAGTGTCACTGGCACATATCAGGGTCGGGAGACACCAGGGTCATTTTGGACTGGTTGACCATGAGCCACACAGGTTACTCCTGGAACTCTGCCCTCTTGACGGCAGCAGGGTTTGCTTGCTTGCTTGTCTGTTTTTATAACAGCTGCATTGAGCTATAATGCAAGTACTGTACAGTTCACCCATCTAGAGTGTGCCGTTCCTTGGTTTTCAGCATCCACAGAGTGGTGCCATCACACCATGACAATTTTACAACATTTCCATCACCCCAAAGGAAGCCTCACACCCTTTAGCAGCTGCTGCTGTGCCCCTCCAGTCTCCCAGCCCTGGGCAACCACTAATCTACTTGCTATCAACTTGCCTGTTGTGGATACTCTGTATAAATCGAATCATGTAATACATGCTCTTTTGTGGCTCATTTCTTAGTATCATTATTTCTGTATGGCAGCCTGTATGGGAGCTTCATTCCTGTTTATGGCGGAGTACAGTGCCGTCATACACATGTGCCATATTGTGTTTACCCAGTCATGGGTTGACGGACAGTCGGGTGGTTGACACTTCTGGGCTGTGGAGAGTGGCACTGCTGTGAGCATTCATGTCCAAGTGTTTGTTTAAACATCCATTTTCAGTTTTCTTAGGTAGATCGTAGGAGAGGAATTGCTGGATCATGTGGTAGCTGTGTGTAGCATTTTGAGTTCCTGCCAGACTGCTTTCCAAAGCAGCCCACCATTTTACTTTTGCACCAGTAGAGTTAGGCTTCTTTCTCATTTCTCCACATCCTCGCCAACATTTGTTACCTTTTTTTTTTTAATTTTTTTAAATGTTTATTTAGTTTTGAGAGAGAGAGAGCGCGTGCGCAAGCAGGGGAGGGGCAGAGAGAGAGGGAGACACAGAATCCAAAGCAGAGCTGTCAGCACAGAGCCTGACGTGGGGCTCAAACCCATGAAGCATGAGATCATGACCTGAGCTGAAGTTGGACGCTTAACCGACTGAACCACCCAGGCACCCCTGTTAACCTGACTTTTTGATTCTCGCCATCCTAGTGGGGGAGGGGGAGGGAGTGGCATCTCGTTGGGATCGTGATTTGCATTTCCCCACTGACAAATGATGATGGAGCATCTTCTCAGGTGCCTTTGGGCATTTGTATATCATCTTTAGAAAAACAGCTGCTCAGGTCCCTCAGTTTTTAATTGGGCTATTTGTATTTTTATTATTGAGTTGTAAGTGTTCTTTACATATTGTAGGTATAAGTTCCTTATCAGAGGTACGGTTTACAAATATTTTCTACCACGTTGTAGCTTGTCTTTTCACTTTCATGACAGTGTCCCTTGAAGCACAGAAGCTTTAAATTTTGGTGTAGTCCACTTTATTTTTTCTTCGGTTGCCTGTGCTTTTAAAAATTTTTTTTTTAATATTTTATTTTTAAGTCATCTCTACACCCAGGGTGGGGCTCGAACTCAACAACCCTGACATCAAGAGTCCTATGCTGTCCCGACTGAGCCAGCCAGGCACCCCCTGCCTGTGCTTTTTAATATGATACCTACAGAACCTCTGCCTAATCCAAGGTCATCTTGTCCCAGTGCTCATTTATTGGAAAGACTGGTCTTTCCCCATTGTATGGATTTTGGTACCCTTGTCAAAAGCCAGTTGGCCATAAAGAGGAGGGTGCTGTTGAGTTCTCTCTCCCCCTCCTCCCAGTGGAGTGGCCATGGGCAGGTAGGTCATTTCCCTTGAAGGCTCTGTCCTTCTCATTTGTAAAGTGAGTAGAGCAGTGGTTCTTGGCTGGCATTTTGTATCATGTGAGGGCATAAAAGTGAGCCCATACTGAGATACCCTACAAGCTACGGCCCTGGGCCCTCTGACATCTCCGCCACAGCCCTCCCATTCCTGGGCTCTGTGTCCCCACCTGGACTCTGCAGGGTGGTAGGAACATCTGGGATCACAGGGAGCCTTGAAGTCCATGATGCAGAATCCCCTCAAAGGAGGGGGAGGCAAGGTGACCCCTGCCTGTGTGTTTGTCTCAAACCCGAGAGCCTGCTGGCTCTCGGCCCATTCTTACATGGTTGGATTGAGCAGTTCTTATTTTAGAACAAACCCACTGGAGTGGAATCTTCCCAGAGCCAAGGGAAGGTAAACAAAGGGGCCTCCAGGACCTACTCACAAGCCCTTGTTTAAATTAAGAGGAAAACATGTTTTGCTTCCCTCAGCGTGGGCTTGGCGCCTTTCATGTCTGCCCTCCCAAGGAAGGTGGCTGGGAGCCCTTGAGGTGAGGAATGGTTTGGGTCTGTGGCTGGGTGGTTCAGGATTGCCAAACCACCACACTGGCTGGAGAAGAGCTCTCAGGAGCTGCTGAGGAGGGTTGGCCCCAGGGTACCACGGGTGGGGGCTGGTGCTGCTCTTGTCACTAGCCTCTGAGTCACCAGCACAAGCTTGGGCTTTGGGGACCTAGCTCAGCAGGAAGAAGTGAGCCCTGCTTCTGCAGGGGAGCCAGGGGCAGTTCTGGGTTGTGGTGACAGCCTTAGTGCATGCACCAGGCTGGGCCCTGTCTGCTCCCGGTCCTTGAGAATCAGGATGAGAACACTAGCACACAAGGGAAGCCAGAACAGGCCCTCAGCTGCTGTGTGCCAGCTGGCAGTGTGAGGGGCACAGCCTCCTGTCAGGCCTGGGTGGACATCCCTCTCTAGCTGGCCACTCACACAACCTTGGGCACAAGTTCCAGGGAGACTGCGTGACAAGGCTCCTGGCACCTAGGGAGCCCCCTCAGTGGACATATGTTGGCTGTTTTAAATAATAGTAATCCTCTGAAGAGCCCTCACAGCCCTGTAATTGTTCCTCTTTTCCAAATGAGGTACCAGAAGCAAGGCCACAGATCAGGGGTCCATCCTCTTTTATTCTGTCAGTGTCCTCCCCTGCCTCCCCTGGGCCCTGCCTGCCTTCACTCTTCTCAGAGGGAACTGTGCTGTGCAGGGCTCCAGGCTGAGGTGGGCAGACACTTGATAGGGCTGCAGTGGAGCAGGGTCAGCCTTCTGGGGGTGCTGGGCCTCAAGAGATAGGTGCAGGCCGCCTGGCTGGAAGAGAAAGGGCCTGGTGAGGAAAGGGAAGGGGGTGGAAGAGATTCACTGTTAGGGCCACAGTCTGAGACTTATCTCCTGGGCCAGGAGTTTGAGCGGTCAGCTCTGAAGTATCCTTGCCTCTTCAGCCTCCTGTCACACAGGCTTGGAAATCAAGGCCCAGAGAGGCAGCACCTCAGCTGTGTCCTCCCTTCTCTTGTGCTTCTGCGTGTGTCTCCCTCACCCCTACTGCTGTGTGTCCTTGGCAAGAGGGTGCATAGATGCATAGATGGCCTTTGGGGTGGTCACTGAGGGGCCATGGAGTGTAGTGGTCAGGGGACAAGGGTTCCAGGCCCAGCTATCTGGATTTAGTTGGGTCAGTAAAGTGCACTGAGGGGCAAATGTATGGAATATTCAGGAGCAGGCTGGCCCAGTGGCCTTCATTGATGAGGCATCAAGGCCGGTGGATCCAAGCCCCAGGCACTGAGCGGGGCAGACTGCCCTCCCCTACCTTCCCAGCAATACTGTCATGCAGAACCACCTCTGCAGGGAACCCCCACTCCTTTACAGACCAGAGACACCTAGGCGACAGCAAAGGGCCTGTTTGAGTGTGCTTTGAAGAGAAGCTATTGTTATGGGGGACCTGGCGTCTCCAGTGATTCTGCCTTGAGGTTCAGATGGTGGGTGTTGACCACACCACTCTTGTTCTGAGGAGCTGGGCATGGAAATGGCCCAGCAGGGAGGAGACAGAAGAGGAAGCAGGAAAGCCTTGGGCCTTCCTTGCTATGCCCTGGCCCCGGTGTTCTGGCAGGGGGGTGGACACTGGTCTCTGGGGGCCTTTCTGGTTGCTGCTCTGTGAACTAACAGTTACAACCCCCATTCCTCACCCCTGGCCCACAGTGAGAACCCCCTACCCACGGTGGAAATTGCCATCCGGAACACAGGCGATGCTGACCAATGGTGCCCACTGCTGGAGACTCTGACAGACGCTGAGATGGAAAAGAAGATCCGAGACCAGGACAGGAACACAAGGTACCCCTCCCCCTTCAGGCCCCTTGCAGCTTGCTCTGCACACAGCCACTGTCTTGCAGGCAGGGGAGGGACCCTGGTTCTGGGAAGGTACCTGCATGGCCAGAGGCAGGCCCTGGGTGATGAGTCCCAATCTAGACCCCAGGTGGGTTTTCCTTCAGGGAACAAAAGTTAAGCCCTCAGGTTGGATCTGACCACAGCCCAGACCTATGTGTCTAGAACCCTGGAGACACAGGCAAGACATGAGCAGGCAGGAGAGAGGGCATTGTCAGGGCGTCAAGCAGGGGACAGGCTCTGGCCGAGGGAGGGGCTGGGGATCCCACCTTTTGTATCCTGTTTCCGTCCCCGCTCCCTTGGCTGTGCTAGAGATCCCTAGGGGAGGGCAGCCACCCAGGGCTGGAAGCTGGCTCCGGGTCATCACCTCCTCTCCTCCTGCAGGCGTATGAGGCGTCTTGCCAACACTGCCCCAGCTTGGTAACCAGCCCGTCTGCGCATGGCTCCCACGGAGCATTGAGAAGATCGGACCGCCTCTCCTTCATCTTCTGGCAAGGAGGGAGGCAAAGGGGCAGGCCGGGGCCATCCTGAGGAACATGGGGTGTGGGGAGGGCTTCTGGTCACCCTCCCCTGGGCACATTCCATTTGTTGAGCCCAGTCCCCATCCAAGTCTCTGGTCAGAAAGAGGCCTCGTTTTGGGTTATGTTTTGTTTTTGTATAGGAGCCCCAGGCAGGGCTAGCAACACTTTTTAAATAAAAGACAACAGGTCATGTTCCATTTTTTTAAAGTGGTAGCATAAAAATAAGAAAGGGGACGAGGAGAAGGACTTGGCTGGGGTGGTGTGGGACCAAGGCTGGCATGCCAGGCCTCTCAGCCTTCTCTGCCTCAGAGTCCCAGGTGGGCAGGTTGGGGCTAAGTTTCTATCCAAGGCCAACCATAGCACAGTCTTGCTTTTCCTCAGGCCCTCCAGCTGATGGACATGACAAGTGAGGTCATGAGGCTCAGGGTAGGGGGGCCCACTTACCTTTCAGTGACGGCCCCACCCCACCCCCTTTGCTTGGCCTTGTGAAGGAGCTACAGGCTTTCCTGCCATCCTTGGGCTCTGCACGTCTGGGCTATTGTGCCACCCCTGGCCAGGAGCATTGCTTCTCTGGAGTCCCTTACAGCAGCCCATCCTTTGTGGTTGCTGCAGGGGCATTACCAGCTTGGGTGCCCAAGGGCCCATGCCTGGCTGTTCAGGCTCCAGCGGGCGTGCACCGCTCTTGCCACACCTTGCAGCGGTGCATGTGCAACAGGTGGTTGGGGCCCAGCTCTGCCCCCAGCTGGTGACTCCACCCAGGCCAGCTCCTCTCTCCCAGGTCGGTTATGAGAAGTAAGGCACACGGAGCAGCATGCCTGCCCAGTGCTGGCCGGGGGTGCTATGTGTTGAGAAGGAGGCAAGCTCTGGGCCTCTTCTCAGATCCGCCTCCAGTGAGCTGTGTGTCCCCTCTGCATTCTTGTCTAATGTGGAAGTGTCCTCACTCTACAGAAGGGACGTGGGCTCCATGAGGGTGGCATATGTGGGTCTCCTCACTGAGTGAGTGCTGCTTGATGACTTGGGCGCACAGCTACATTCTTAACGAAGGTAATGGACCCAGATCTAAGCACTGGGCTGCCTCCTTCACTTGCTGGCAGGTCTTCCCTGCCATGTCAGGGCTACTCTGCCCTCCAGCAGCATGGCAGGAGTGTGATGGCACCTGGCTCCCAACTTGAACCCCACCCTGGGCAAGGGCAGAGCTCTGAGTAGGAATTGAGGTCTTGACTGCCAGGATGTAGGGGTAGACGCGCCTAGCCCTCTGGGCTTGGGGTCCTGTGATCATGTCCTGGGACGTGACGGCTCCTGGCTCCCGGGGAGTTTGTACTCAAGCCCCCTGCCCTTCATCCAGGAGTGGAACTTGCTGGAGCCCCACAGCAAGGGGACACCTGGGCTTCACTGGAAGGCCTTGAACAAAGAGCAGGATTCCAGGCCCAGGCTCCACTGGCCTTGGAAATAAGTGGGCTCCATTGCTAAAGGGTTTGCTTGGTCCATGAGGCCCTACAACTAGAGGGCAGCCTAGGGGCTGAGCCCTCACTCTGAGCATTGCCAGCCCACGCTGCTACACTGCTACTCCGCAAGATTTCATTACTAAATTAAGGTTAGACTCCCATGGTGAATACTTGTGTCACCCACGAACATGACGACCTATGGCTGGAGGAGCCCCTATTGCTGCCAATCATCCAGGAATAAATTGTAATTTGGACTGGTCTAGGGTGATGAGGAAAGTTGGCCAGGTTGCCTGATGGCTGCTTTACCAAAGAGAAAAGTGAGCTGTGCGATCAGATAAGGTTTCCATGGTCCTTAGCTAAAAACATCAGGGAGAGAACTTTGCAAGGCTCTGCTATGGTGAAAATTTCTCAAAGCTTTGGGGTTGCAGAAAGGGTAGAGGACCCAGTCCTGGCCCTCCTCTGCACCTGACCTCATGGAGCCTTGGCCAAGTCCATTAACTGCTCAGCTGGAAAGTGGGCAAAGGTCCACTTGGTTGCTGATGAGGGACAGTGAGGCATCAGCCTGAGGGCACCATGGGAAGGAGCCCCTACAGACTGGGCTTGGCACAAGAGGGACATCCCAGTCCTGGCCTCAGCCAGTGAGATCTGACCAGCTCCCTTGCTGCATGGCAGGGAGCAGAGATCTGGTTCAGGTGGGATTTGCCCAAGGCTCTAGCAAGGCACTGGCAAAGCTAGAGTGAAAACCCGGAGTGTGCCATCTGCTAGTTCACTCCTGCTAGGCAACTATGGGCAGGTTCTTGACCCACTCTGGGCCTCCCTTCTGGTCTGAGAGGGCAGGCCAGGCTTAGTGGCTCTACGTCAGGGCCAGCAGCATGGAAAGGTGTGGCCAGCTGAGGCAGGGAGCCAGTGCTGTGGACGAAGAGGTGCAGGTCATCCTGTTTATTTGGGTGGGCCCTGGGCACAGGCCCAGTCTGCAGGACAGGTTGCTCTCCTGAAAGCGGGAGTTAGGGGTGGGAGGGAGGTCTGTCAGAAACCAGGAAAACGGGCTTCTTGGGCTGGCCCTGGCCCTGGGTAAGGTCATTGCTGCAGGGGTCCTGGCTGCTCCTCCGGGAGGGGCAGGTAATTGGGGTCCTCCTCTCGGGCATCCAGTAGCAGCTTCCTGTAGGGAGGGGCCCACACTGAGCTGAGGCCAGCAGGGGTCCCCAATGGGGTCAGGAGCCATCTTGAGGGAGTGTAGGGGGATAACTGTCATCTCTAGCACTTACAGGAAACTGGGGGTCAGCAGCAACCTCTTGCCTCCAGGCTGGTTGGGGAAAACATCCTCTAGGAAGTAGTAAACGTGGCCCACAGCAATCCCTGTAGGAGAGCAAAGGACTGCCGAGGCCACCCTCCACAGTCCCGAGTCTGGAGCCAGCACAACCTGCTCCCTGACTCCACGCACAGCTCTGGAGGCCAGCCAGGCCAAGTAACCTGAGGCCCCAGAGTACACAACATCTTGCACAGACTGCCAGCCCAGGGTGGGGCCAGGGTTGACCCTGAAGGATTGGCTTACCTGGCCCAGAAGTGGGCAGGACTTGGAGAGGGGATGGGCTGAGAACATGGGAGGAACAGGAGCGAAGGTTGGAATCTTGACTTACCCAACCCCACCCTGGTCAGGACCCCCACAAGCATCAGTACATCAGGCCTAAAGATGTGAAGCAGGTATCTGGCTGGCTTATGCAAGGGGCCAGAAGAACAGAGGAGCTGGCAGAGCAGGAAGTGGGGGTGGGAAGACAGGTGAGAGGTCCATTCCAGGTGGGTGCTGTGCTCTGGCACAGCAACCAGCCTGGGAGCCCTCCCAAAGGTCATCAGGTACCAGACAGCCTGTTTCTGGGGGGTCGGGGCTGGATGCGCAGGCAGGCTCACCCAGCAGGTCGACAAGGATTGAGTTGCCCAGCAGCAGTGAGAAACCCATGAGTGCCCAGGGCAGGAATGGTGCCTGGAAGGTGAGGAGGCCAAAGAAGTTGACCCTCACTCGGGGGTTGCGGCGACTCCAGACATACACCAGCATGACAGTGAGGGCCTGGCCCAAGAAGAACAGGCTGCCCAGGAGCCCTAGCAGCTGAGCCAGAGTCAAGGTGCTGGGAGGACTTCTCCTTGTGCAGGCCTCAGAGCCCCTGCCCAGGACCCCTCTGACTGCCTAAACCCCTGGACTCCTCCCCAGTTTTCCTTCCCTCCTCACTTCTAGTGATGGACCCTTCAATCAAAGCCACACTGTGGCCTTCAGGCCAACGTGATCTGCTCTGCTTCTCCACCTGGCCCCAGCCTCCAAACACTGCCCTTCATTGCCCCAGTTTCTTCTGGCTACTGGCATTCGGGGCTCAGCCTGCAAGCACCCTACCTGGCTCTCCACATCACCCTGTGATACTTTGCATACAGCACTGAAGAGCTAGTAGCCCGGGGCTGAGCAGATGACGTATGCTAGATTCACCCTAAACTAGAGTGAACGACTCTGTCCCCCTCGGGCCCAGGCGCTCATGTCGGGCCCCAGGGCCTACAGAGGCTGGACCCAGAGGCGCAGCGCCTAAGGTTTCAGAGCCTGGGAAGGATACGGTCATGAGGACGCCCCCGAAGAGAAACATGAAGACGAAGTCGGCCGTGCGGCCACGGAAGGAGCCCTCCTCCAGCATGCGGCAGTAGCGAAACCTGCAGCGTCCGTAAAGGAAATGCCACCGGGAGGAGCCTTGGTTTCCCTGCTCCTGGCCATTCCGGGCCTCCCCCAGCCCCGCTGGGCCGCTCCCCAGCCTGGCGGGCCGCCCACCACCCTACGCCTACGTCCGCTCGGCGCAGGATACACGAAGAGCATGTTGAAGAAGAAGCTGAATCCCAGGGGCCCAAAGAAGAGGAAGTTGGTGACGAGCCTCCAGACCTACGGGGATAGGGGGTAGGTGGGCGGTCAGGCGCGGGGCAGGCAGGGCCCGGCTGTCAGGTGCAAGGGGCGGGTGGCCTCACCTGAAACTTCCGGAACACGAGGTGCGGGTTGAAATAGAGCTGGAAGGGGCTGAGGAGCTCCAGTTGCTGCGGAACCAGGGGCGCGTCAGGTGCGACCCCGGGGAATCTAGCGGTAACCATGGCTACACCCCTCCCGGGCTGCAGCCAGGGAACCGATCCCACCCGCCCGGCCAGCTTACCACAGCTGCGGTGGTAAGGACACAGGCCGCGGTGTAGGTCCGCGTCACCGCTGGCACCTGCAGGAACTCGGCCGCCAGTCCCTGCCACGCCATTGAACCTTCTTTGACACTCGTGGCCCAACCTGCTGCGCGCTCTTTAACCCGCCTCCCAATCCCGCCTCACTCCCCGACTTCGGCCAATCCATGTCGGGGAGCGCAGTGCGCCCAGAGTAGGGGGCGGGTCCCTGGGCCCAGTAACCAATAGGAGGAGGAAGCTGGAAGACGAGGGCGGGACAGGAGAGAGTGGGCGGGTCGGAACTCGAGACCAATGAGCAGGCCCCACGGTTGAGCACGTGGCGGTTGTTGTGGTGGCTGTAGTGGCGGCGCGGGAGAACGTGTAGCCAATGAGGAACTGGTCGCTTGGCGTCAATCTAAGGAGAACCAATAGCAACGACGTGTTGGGGGCGGGACTGAAATTACTCCGCGAGTGGAAAAAAGACAGGACCGAGGAACAGCGAGACCGGAAGGGGCGGGGTCACGCTGGAGCGTGGGCAAGCCGGGATTAATACGTGTCTGGTCCCCGGGCTCTGTGAGTACACCTAGTGCTGGGGGAGACTCGGTCCTATCTCCCCCATTGAGAGCCAGAGACAGTGCCACCTAGCCTACAACAAAGGAGGTGCTCAGCACCACGTCCACTCTCCGACCCCGCCTCAGTCCATTGGACCCCACGCCGACTCCTGTGGGAGGTCTCCCCCAGGGACGCCAGGGTGCCCACACGGGCCAGAACGAGTGGACAAGCTGGAGACGGCCTCATCATTTTGATGGAAAAGAGGAACTCCATTTATGCACTCATTAAGTCAACTGTTTACTGAACACGGACTATGTGCCAGGTGCTTTTCTGAATTCAGGAGATACAGCAGTCAATAAAGGATGCTATCCCTTATGGTGTAGCCGAGAAGACAGGCAGGCATAGACCTGTGCGAATATGAGAGCTAGTGTTCACAGGACCAGGAAATGACGCAAATAACGCCAAGAGTAGAGGGTCGGGCAGTAAGCCGGGGAAGTGTCTGTGAGGAAGTGACACTTGATTGTCACTTTAAAAAGGTCCCTGTGGCTTCTGCAAGCACAACAGACTGTCAGAGGAATCTGTGAGCAGAGGGAGGCTGCAAGGCACAGTAGTGACGTAGGCAGTATGGAGCCTGGAGTGTGAGGCTGGGGTGAGAGGTGGTTTTGTCCACGGATTGGACAGAGCTGTGAGGGAGGAATCAACGGTGATTTAGAGGTCTGTGCCACCGGGAAGATGGATGGTGGTGGCCTTTACAGATATGAAGAACACTTGGGGAAAAGGCGGGCAGATGGAGTACTGTTCTGGCCTTGTTGAGTTTAGGGTATTTGTGTGATATCTGCCTGGAGAAATCCAAGTATGGTGTTCAGGGAGAGGTTGGGCAGGCAGTCCAATTGTGGATGTCAGTCAACCGTAGACCTGTGGCATTTGTAGCTTTGGGCCTGCGTGAAGCGTCCAAGGGGCAAGGCTAAATGGAGAAGAGAAGAGGTGAAGCCTGGGCAGCTCAGCCTTCAACAATCAGAGAAGGCAGACCTGGTCAGGGAGGCCAGGGAAGGCTGGGAGGGGTCTTCCAGGAGTTGAGCCAGGAAAGGGCATCAGGAGCAAGACAGAAGCTCACAGAGACATGGCCTGGGAACAGAGGGTTGCAGCCCTGCCAGTGTCTCTGTAATCAGGATAATAGAAGGTAAGAGGGAGAGGAAGGTGCCCAGACAGATGTGCCCTTACCAATATGGGAGCTCAGGTGTGGACGTAAGTGTGGAAGATGAGGAATGCCTTGGACAGGGCCCTGAGGTCCCCCAGAGGAGACTGGAAAGGGGGATAACCAGTTGATAAAGTTATTTCAGGTGGATCCCAAGAAAATGAGGGCGCTCAGAGGGATTCCCTAGTGAGTAGCTCATGGAGCTGCTGGGAGGGGAGGGAGAGGCTGGGAGCACCGAAGGGGGATGTGCATTTGGCTTAGGGGTGAGAATAGGTCTGGCCTGATACAGCAGGAATTGGACCAAGGTGCTGAGAGGTTGGTGGTGGGAATAGTCCCCCTTGGGCAGCCTCCATTTTCCAGCAAAACAAGCCAAGGTCACGTCTGCGGTGGGCCCAGCAGAGTAGATTCCATCCTGGTGGAGGGTTAGGGGGGAGGTGTGGCAGCTGGTGGGAATGCAGGACCTCAAATGCCAGGGCTGGTGCCTACCAGGCACAAAAGAGCCATCCAGGGAGGTCAGGTTTCTTGTCAGCATGGGGAAGGGGAGGTGTTCCTGCCTCCAGGCACTTAGCAGGGGCCCTCCACTCAGGGTCAGGCCGAGGCTAGTAGGAGGGGCTATCAATTGTGGAGCGGAGGGTGGAGGAGGGGAGGGGTGTCTGTCTCCCCTCTGATTGGGGCTGATAAGGCAGGAGCCTGGTTTGGGGACCAGAAGCACATTCCCGGGAGGCTGGGAGCCCAGGGTAGGTGGGGGTTGCCAGCTGGAGGGACAGTCACAGGAACAGTGGCTGGACTTTACTGCAGATGCTCCCTCCTCAGAACCCTGGGGAAACTGAGGCCTAGTAGGAGGCACAGCAGGGCCTGGGGCAGACCTCCATCACCAGTCCAGGCTTTTCCTGTCCAGTCTCAGGTCCAGGGCAGGCCCATTTCTCCTCTGACTCAGGTACCTGCAGACAGTTATTTTTGGAGAGAAGTCCTGGGCATCACATGGTCCCAGGGGCCTAAAGATGTAGGCAGGCTGTGTGCTGGATGCCAACGTCTATTTAGCTTCCTGTCCCAAGCAGTAGGGCCAGCTGGGCCCACCCTCTCTTCTGGGCAAAGGATGTAGCTGAAGGAGGGCCTGTGGTCCCTGGGCAAGGTGACAGTGAACGCTGCTCCTCAAGTTGTCTCTCTGGCCTTGCAACCCTGCCTGCTGCAGAGCAAGGAACTCCAGCATCCCCAGATCTGGGGGCACCCAGAGGACCCCAGAATCTCCTGTCTAGGCTCTTAGTGCCCACAAACAGGACAGTATCCCCTTCATGCCCACCAAGCCTGCCTTCCTCCTTACAGGCCTCACATGCTAGGAGGCCCCATCATCAGCCCCAGTGACGATCCAGAAACCTGGGGTCATCCAAGCCCCACCTTCCCCAGCCCACTTGGAACTTGAGGCTCCCATGGAATTCTCCAGTCCCCCCGCCTTTTTTAAATGTTTATTTCTGGAGAGGGGACAAAGAGGGGTGGGACAGAGGATCTGAAGCAGGCTCTGTGCTGATAGCAGCAAGCGTGATGTGGGGCTCGAACTGACAAACCGTGAGATTGTGACCTGAGCTGGTTGGACACTCAATGGACTGAGCCACCCAGACATCCCATCCAGTCCCTTTTCATCTCTGCAACACACCTCACCACCACTGCTGCTGCCACCTCTTATTTGGGCTTCGGCTTCTCTCTTCCAAGGACTGCCTCAGATCTCTGGTTCATCCATTCATTCATTTTCCTCCCTACCAGCTTAGATGAAAGTGGTAGAAATGCTCCCTACTCCAGGAAGCCCTCCCTGAGGGGACCAGAGCTCACCTACCTAGGCTCACCTAAGGCCCCCATATACCTAATTTTTAAATGTAGTTTATTCCAAAGCCAACACTTGCCTGTGGTAACAAACCCAAAGAATGAGAAACAAGGTGTTTGTGTACATGTTGGAGGCAGCTGTGTTTTCCTTTTGACAATACAAGGCCACTCCATAGTGACCCTGAGCCTCCTTTGTTGGGGGCTTTTGCTCGGGGTCTGTGAGCTCAGGTCCCACCGGCTTCCAGAACATGGACCCCAAACTGCAGTGGGAAGGCCTCTACCACAGCCCCAGCCAGCCCTTCCCAGGAACAGCTGTGTCCCCGATGGCCCTTCCTGTCTGGGTCATGGAGTATTTTTAGCACTGAGTCTAGAACCTACTTGGCAGCAGCTGCTCATGGCTGGAGTGCAAGAATGACAGACTGTCCAGGTGGGCTGTGTCAGGCTTGGGCCTGGTCCTCTGAGCTTGATAGCAGATTCCAGGCTCTCCAGGAATTAGCAGGTCTCTGGGGTGGGGAGGGGGGATAGGGAAGGACAAGGAGGTCTGGGACAGAGGATGAGTAGCATTAGCCATGCCCCAAGGGGAAACAGCCTGTATAAAGGTCCTGAGGTGCCATGGTGGGGGTGCAGAGAGAAGCAGAAAGCATGGCAAGGAGGAGCTGTGTGCAGTTGGAGGCTTAGCAGGGCTGTGTAGGCTGTGGTCTTTGTCCCAAGGCAATGAGGAGCCCTCAGAGAGTTTTCAGCATGGTGGTGAGGTTACAATCGGATGACAGCTCTCTGGAGGAAGGAGACAGGAATAGAAGCAGTCATCTGAGTGGAGGAGGATGGCAGTGGCGGGGATGTGACAGAGTGAGTGGGTCAAGGAGGTAGAAGCCACAAGCCTTAGCGATTGGGAGAAGGGTGAGATGCAGGGGAGAGCCAGGTTTCTGAGGGAGACTGCCCGCTGGTTTGGGACAGGTTGAATTTGGGGTGCTGTGAGCCATGACCGCCTCAGGGAAGCCCTGCCCTGGCCACCCAACTTGGTGCTCCCAGCACTTTGCCACCTATGGTGCTCCTCATGCCCACAGACATGCTGCACCACACTCTCTGTCCCTGGTGTCTGCTCTGGCACCAGTCACCAGAAGTCCTTGGTGATCTTTGAGCCTCAAGAAGGTGGAAACCTTCTCTCCAGGGCTGGATCTGCAGCCTTGGGGCTGGCACTGAGACCTGACCCTGCCCGGCCCGCCCCGGGCCTCTGCATCCCTGTCTGTGAAATGGGCTGGTCTCCCATACCTGAGAAATATATTTTGGTCATCTGAATAACCAAATCTATTTCCTATAAACCACAATATCACAGGTGTCTGGGTGGCTCAGCTGGTTAAGCATTCAACTCTTGATTTAGGCTCAGGTCCTGATCTCACTATCGTGAGATGGAGCCCTGCATTGGGCTCTGCACAAAGCCTGCTTGGGATTCTCTCTCTCCCTTTATCTCTCTTTCTAACCCTCCCCTGCTCATGCTATCTCTGTTTCTCTCTCTGTCTGTCTCTCTCAATAAATAAA